AGAATATCTATGTGTTCCAGAAGTTCGCTTACCGCTGCGCTAAACATCCTCTCTTGCACTTAATTCCTTACAAATTCTTAATTTAACTGTTGTTCTAGGCACTATATCCGATAGTGAACAGTGTTGATCACATTAACACATGAGGTTAACAAAGAGAACAAAAACAAAGGAACGAAAACGCACTAACGCACTTCTGGTGACATAAACAGAACTTAAGCATCAACGTGCGATTTGAAAAGCATTTGTTCGAAATGAATGGAACGGAACTGACCAGTCAATAATTTCATAAGCTTCATATAGCGTCAAAGTGCGATTTGAAAAGCATTTGTTCGAAATAAATAGAATGGAGCTGTCCAGTCAATAATTTCATAAGCTTCATATTCAGCAGTCAGTCAGCGTCCGTACACTGACCGTGGCCAACAACCATTTCCAGGAATAACAACGACGTATAGACAACAACACAGTGATGAGGACTTAATCCTTTTCGGAAAATGCAATCGAAATCAGTGAGTGATAATGTTGATTAGCAAGAGATATAAGGATGGTGTGGATTTTTGCTGTCTTCTCGTTGCATTTAGTTATTATCACGGAACAAAGCCGACAGTTTAAACCGAAAACAGAGATTTCTTTGCATGTAGTTGCCTCCATCAGACCCTTGAGTTCATCGCTATCAATAGTAGAAGGATTTCCTCGACCTCTTTCATCTTCATTGTCGAATTTGCCAGGACGGAATTCTTGGAGCCAGCGTCGCACTATGCGTTTTACCACTTTCTCGGCCCTATATCTTATTGTTTCGAGCCGTTTGGCTGTACTCCGTCCCAGTTTGAAATCGTAAAAGTAAATTGATCAGAAATCCTGTTTCGACATGTTGAGATTCTAGTCATGAAATTTTTGTCAAAAATACAGTTTTCTATAATTCAATTATACGCATGGAAAATGCACAAAATAAGTTTTCCAATGATATATAGTAAAACATCATTCGGAAGAAAACTGTTGGTAAAATATAAAGAATAAAAAAGGATAATATTCTCGGCGCTGATCTATCCCTGAGGAATGCGCCATGCATTCGACTTCACTGAGTGTTGTTAGAGGTGATTGAATGCACATCTGGCCTTTACAATGACTCGCGATGGCATACCGATATACCGAGCCAATGATGCTATCCTCTCAGAGAAGTGTGGAACAAACTAGCCGAAACCGGAGAATGGAAGGCTTTATGTACTTGGGACGCGGAATCGATCTCACATGTACTGCAGGGCGCCTGCGACCGCTGCGCTGCACGCGCCCTCTATTGCTTGTTTCTTATGCATATTTTAGCAATTGCTAAGGTGCACGAAAGAAAAATGGAGTTACAAATCAGGTTCTAATTTCCGAATAGCCTAATATGGATAGATAGTGGCATAATATCAGCAGTATAGCCAGTAGGTAGCATTACAAACCACGAAGTCATTCACGTTATTTGATTTACTTTATCATTTAAAGATAAAGGACCAATAAATATAAGGATACTATTCTCGAATTTCAAGGAAAAAGCGATTCAAGAATATCGAGCATGAAATTTGCGGATCCGCCAGACGGATTCAGAAGCATTCTCACTGTTTTGCTTCAAACAGCTACTTACTTGCTTCCTTGGGTACTTGCATGGCCCGTCTTCATTGGTTGTGTGGGCCACAGTATAATTTCCATTCTCCGGAGATTTGCTGGTTTAGCCACTGTGACTCCCCGCTACAGTCCTGGGGACAGCGTGGCCAAAGTCTGCCCCACGTAATCACTACCACAGGCAGTCGTAGCGCTTGTGGATCGGAGAAGGGGGATTTGCTCCCATGCGACTAGTTTGACACTACGACAGTAGTGGATCTTGGTTCCCCCTTAAATGGGCTTCCTATTAAAAATGTCGGTCTCTTTCTCAGCTTGGGAGACGTTGCCGGGGAGATGAATCCATCGCTGTACATTGCTGCTCAACAATCAGGAGCACCTCACACCTACAATGAGGAGGATTACGAATACCAAATGAAGTTTTCCTCATACCTTCTATGAAATGGAAAGAGGACAAAAACAACTTTTCGAAAACCTACAGAATCTACAGTGCTCATTATAAAACCGAACAGAAGATGTTCTAACTATAGGAATTTTGACATTAAACATATTCAGAAGCAACTTCAAAAAGTGCGGAGATAGTTGCAGATTCACTATCACCTATATCATCTGCAATTTATGTGATCTTCGATTAACTTAAGCACCAGTAATTTGCCACCTGTTCAAGCACGTATGCGGAGCGTATGGCGCAGTGGTTGGAGGCGCCACTGCGACACACACGTGGAGTCTATCTCTACGCCCATGGCTCACCGAGCCTTCCATCCTTCTGGAGTCGGCAAATTGGTGCCAGACTTGTCCAGGAGGATAGCAGCACTGACTCGATACATCGATAAGTCACCGCGTGTCATTTTAAAGGCCAGATATGCATTCAATCACCTCCAACGATACTCAATGAAGTCGAATGCATGGCGCATCCCTCAAGGATTGATCAACGCTGAGATCTTTGTCCTTTATCCTTTTACGCGCAAAAGCGGTACAGAAAACTTAACGAACATCGTACTGCTTGTGGAAGATAGGGAAAATTTCATTTATAATAGTCATAACCGCAGTCCTCCACGGATCTCCCTCACTGACAGATTCCAACAGGTTTGTAGCCAATCTATGCGGAGTATTTTAAAACTGACTTCCGCTTATCCTCGGTATAACTAATCCAGATGAATTCTTCCATTGATAAGCGAACACGAGTTTCACAAAGAACTTTTTCGGCAAACGTTTTGGCGCCTTCGCCTTCCTCAAAGCCGGAACGATCTCATTCGATGGCCCACAGTTCTTCCTCCTTCCGATGTGGATTTTCGTGATCGCATCAGGTCAAACTCGGTGGAGTACAGCTATATGAAGTGTCTTTTCTAGCTGATACGTTGATAAAAGTGAAGAAAAAGTGGCTTCGTACTTTCTCTACGGCACACATGAATTCGGGAGATGACTCTATACACTCCTAATATCTGATTTCTTCGTTGAAGACCTAATGATACAAGACACGAACGGCGGGTAGCACGTCATCAGATTTACCAAGACAATGAGATACCGCAGTTTAAAAGCTGAAGTTTTGTTTCATAAAACATCCAACATCAGAGGAGTCAACTGCGTTGGTGTCCTTGCCAACGCGAGGTTGGTTATGGATGTCTTTTTCGAACAACTAACAGTCCATGTCGGACATTTACGGCTGAAAACACATGAACCACTGCAGGTTTTAACGGTATTGCTAGCGTGTTCAAAGAAAAAATGTTCGCCAAGAACGGAATCCCTTCTAATACTCCTGCTATGTGTAAGTGCGATCAGAAGTCAATACGAGGACCAAGGTTGAACTGAAGGAAACAGACGACAAACTTCGATCCTCTTTGTCTTAACGTAGAGCAAAGAAACTTGAACGCTACGTAAACAGGATAGGAGGCGACTCAACTTTATTGAATGTGCAACCGAGAGAGGGATGGTAATAGAAGTATTACATTAATGAAGAATCTTATTTGTCATATAGAGGTTACCTCCGGAAAGGTTGAAGACGCTGCCACACACGCTGTCTAGATGAGTCGAACATGTAATGTCTCTTTAGCAAAACTGGGGCGGAATAGCCGCTACCGACTGGATCTCAAGAATGTCAAAGCAGATGGTCAGAGTTCTTCTACCCTAGAAGATGAATATAATTCACATCAGTTTTCTGCAACATAGTGGGTAGTCTTGCACGCGACAGTGATAAATGGATGACCTAGCTCATCCGAACCTGCACTCTTAACTTAGATCGAATGAAAATGTTCGGCTTGTTCTCAGATAGAGTCAACCCGATTGCAAATGAACCTCACCTGCACATCGCAGCAAGAACCCCACGAATACCACCAGCTACTACGATGCAGCAAACCAACGTGGGATATCTGCGACATGAAGCGAATTCTTTGGAAAACCATGTATACTCTATTGGACATTCTAGTCATGTTATTCCCGAAAGCTATGGAAAAAACGCAATGACCAAACAAAATTAGCGTTCAATTTATTCTCTGTTGAATAATAAGCAGAATTGGTTCCACATCATTCCCAGATACAGCTGTATGGCATGACCAGGTCACAGAATCCTTCTTGCTGAATCATGTATAGATAAGGAAAACCAGTTGATAAGAACTCCAGCAGAGATCCTACCTTTTATAAAATCTTTCAGACAACCGCGGAAACACTCTAACGGACCGATTGCGGAAATTATCACGAAGATTTCGAAATGGTTAGTTGGGAAGCTTTATGGTGCCAGACAAGGAACTTCACCGGAGATCCACGTGGAAATAAATAAGTCCAGTGCTTTCCTTGTTTGGTCAAATTTACAATAGCCTTTGCGTATGTATTATTATATCCACGTACGTTTGCATCGATGTTCTTATCATCCCGCTGATTATATTCTGGTTGCTCACCCATCGGTAAAACCTATACTATCAGTTTTATTCACAAATTTTCATAGACAACGAAAATATTCCAAAAGCGGCTGTTAGTCGATACGAACTACAGTAGTACTTTATCAAAAGAACAAAATAAAAGTGACCATAAAACATTACACTATATACAACATATTTCCATTAAGAACAATAGATATTAACACAAGACCCTACCCCAAAGTCCGCGTCTCAATCACGTTGGCGTCTTTTTGTTCCTACACGCGATGGTTCAAACTGGTACGAGTATTTTTAAAAATTAGTATGTCACGTCTTTTCGAATAATGCTGCGTACAACTTCTCAGTGAAATAGGCTATACGGTACACAGGAAAAAAATGATGCAAAACAACTCTGAGGAAAGAAAATGAATCAATTACGACTTATGCCAGCTATTCTATCATCTTACGCGTGAGCTATATATAGGTTATGTTGGGCTACAGAAAAAAGTGAACATTGTACAACAACGATTACAATCAATTATAAGAAAAACACCACTAGCCTGAACACATGAGACAGCCCTCATCTCCAACGTTAACACTTGCAATCTTACTAGCAACGTTATTCAGCTGAAAACAGGAACTACAAATCACACACTGCCTCGCAAATGTTATTTCAATCACATATGACGCCTTATCGTGGCTGGGAGTTGTTCCTGGGTGACGGCAGCGATGTACAGCGATGGGATTCATCTCCTCAGATGAGTCTCTCAAGTTGAGGAGTCCGGTGCTTCCATCATTCAACCCAGCTATGAGTAAAGCAATACCGGGATCCACCACAGTCCTGGTATCAAACTAGTCGCACAGTGACAAATCTCCCTCTTATCCACAATGGCGACGACTGCCTGTGGTGGCGACGACCTGGGGCAGACTGGGTAGGCTGACCTCGAGACTCCAGGGAACCACAATAGCTAAGCCAGCAAAACTACGAAAGAATGGAAACTGTGCTGGGGCCCGCATAACCAGTGATGATGGGCTATCCAAGTATCCAATTATGTCTTGCTAATAAATAGAACTATATAGAGAAAACAATAAAACAGGTCTACACCTTGCAATAAATACACTATCAACCTCAACTGTAATTTTAAAAATATACCAACCATGGCATCCCTTTCCTCTTTGGCCCTGAGAGCTTCCTTATCAACAGTGAACTGAACTGCATTAACTGCAGGTTTTGTCCGCAAGTAGTACATACCAGTCTTGAGCCCCTTAAACATAATTTTAAACGGCAATCAATACTTCATCACAAAACCTTTGGTATCAAGTGCTCGCAAGGTATCGTATCTCTGTTCCTTAATGCTCTATTAGAAGCAACTCTACAGTTAACACATTACTGATCAGCATCCAACTGCTGTAAAAAGAACCCGTGAAGTCCAGACCGACATACCTTCTTCCAACCGTAAAAGTGCATAGAGGTGATGTTTGCATAACTTGGTCGAGCAATATGGATGTTCAGCGATTGCGACTGGTCGATAAACGCCCCCCTGTAAAGTAATATAGGAATTAAAGTGTATAGGTTACTGAAAACAAACGAACCTATCAGCTGCCATCTCGATTATGTCCTTCTGAGGTAATTCCCATACCGTTTGGTAGAGCTGCTTAATGTTATCGGGAATACCCTAGAAAAAAGACTTCAACAAAGTTTTTCGAACGGTAATGAACAGACAACAGTTAAGAAAATAACGCACACCAATCTTGGCGATTGACCCATTGTTAGCAATCAGTTGATTCTTAATTTCATCATCCCAGAGATTCAATTCGACAAGGTCCTTCAGCAGATGAGGGTTCACAATTTGGAAATCACCCGAAAGTACTCTGCGGCTGTAGATATTCGAAGTGTACGGCTCAATGGATTCGTTGTTGCCAAGAATTTGCGCCGTCGATGCAGTTGGCATCGGTGCAAGCAATAAACTGTTTCGTACACCATGCCTAAAAAGATATTCATTGTAGCACAACAACTGAAAAGCAAAAAAAATGGGTTAGGACTGAAATGAACTACGTCTTGATCTTCTCACGAAGACAATCCCAATCGCATTGGTCAGTCGGCGTTACGTTCCACATATCAAATTGCAAAATCCCCTTAGACACAGGGCTACCTTCGTAAGTCTCATAAGTACCTGAAAGAAGTGCAAAATAGTAGATAGAATCAGTCTAGATCCAAAATGTCTACTTAGAGTATGTGTTGACAAGTTTTAAAAGCACAAGACCTACCATGCTTTTCGGCAAGTTCGCAAGATGCTTCAAGCGCAGCGTAATAAATCGTCTCAAAGATCCGTTTATTCAGGTCTCGAGCCTCTGGGGAAGTGAAGGGGTACCGCATCAACATAAATGCATCCGCAAGACCCTTTAAAATCAGTAGTAGATACGATTTCTTAAAAACTTCAGCTTAAAGAGAACAAGTACAAGCAGTAAGTGACAATACTTGTTCCAAACGCAGAACACCTACCTGTACTCCGATACCGATAGGGCGATGACGGAAGTTCGAACGCCGCGCTTCTTCCACAGGATAATAGTTAATGTCAATTATTTTATTGAGGTTATAGGTTAAAACCTGAAAATTATCTTGAATGTTTATTTAAGCCTAGTCTGATGACTCTTAATTAAACGCGTATCAGTCCAAGAAAAGGAAGACATAGAGAGTAAAACAATGCCTCGCACCTTGGTAACCTCTTTTAATTTTGCGAAGTCAAACTTCTTCTCAGCAGTAACAAAGCGGTTAAGAGCAACTGAACCAAGATTACAAACGGCAATCTGCAGTGGGGTAATGTTTGAAATAAGAAAAACTCGACAACTACTCAAAAACCGCCAACAAATCCACACACCTCATCTTTGCTCGAGTACTCAACAATTTCCGTGCAAAGGTTAGAGCACTTTATTGTTCCCAAATTCTGCTGGTTGCTCTTACGATTACAAGCATCCTAAACAAGGTCATAATTACAGCGACAATTACCTTCTTCAAAGATCTTTTAGCCCACCTTATACACAATGTAGGGAGTTCCCGTTTCTATTTGGCTCGACACAATATGTTCCCACAGTTTGCGAGCTTTAACTCGTTTACGATAGCGACCTTCAGCTTCATATCTGAAAAATCAATCATCATCCCCTGTGGCACTGAAATTCAACCACAACTATTTCAACTACCTTGTATATAGTTCGTCGAACTTCTCCCCCCAGCAATCATCGAGTCCAGGACATTCATGCGGACACATTAGAGACCATTCCATGTCACGCTCTACCCTCTTCATGAAAAGGTCAGGAATCCACAAAGCATAAAACAGATCGCGAGCGCGTTCCTCTTCAGGTCCCGTATTCCTCTTTAACGCAACAAATCTGCATCAGAATTGAGTTTGATCACAAGAGAGCTAATTGACAACCGACAGATCAACTTACTCGAAAATATCTGCATGCCATGGCTCGAGATAGATTGCAAAAGCTCCTGGTCGTTTATTGCCGCCTTGATCAACGTATCGAGCAGTATTGTTGTATACGCGTAACATTGGAACCAACCCATTGGATGTGCCGTTTGTGCCGCCAATCAAAGAACCAGTGGCCCGAATTTTATGTACGTTCAAACCGATTCCTCCAGCACTCTTCGATATTAGAGCACATTGCTTCAATGTATCATAAATACCGGCAATCGAATCCTCACTCATCGTCAACAGAAAACATGATGAAAGCTGCGGCCATAGTGTTCCAGCGTTAAACATTGTTGGTGATGCATGAGTGAAATATCGTTCACTCATTAGATTGTACGTTTCAATAGCTGCATCGATATCCTCGCCATGAATACCGACCGCAACCCGCATAAGCATGTGTTGTGGTCGTTCAGCGACCTAAAATATTTGCATATTCAACATAGTACTCCCCTACCTTGGGAATGCCTTTAAAATGTGCTTGTGTGGCAAGCGTATCAGTGTCAATATGAAAACTGTGGTCGAGAATGGCACATGCGCCGTTTTGAACGAAAAATGTGAAATTTTACAAACGAAAATGATAAAGTTCTCGGCGTTGACCTATCCCTGAGAGGTGCATCATGAATTCTATTTCATTAAACATCGTTGGAGGTGATTGAATGCATATCTGGCCTTTACAATGACTCGCGATGGTCTACCGCTGTAGCGTGCTGCCTCCCAGTGCTGCCATCCTCCCAGACAACCCTGGTATCAATCTGTCGACCCCGGGAATGAAAGACTTGATGGGCCTGGGGCACTTGGATCGACCCCGTGTGTATTGTAGGACCCTCCGACCAATTCGCCACATGCGCCCTGTTTATAATTTTATACGAACATAAAACCTAACCAGAGTTTGGAAGCGTGGCCTGCACGACACGACTTGTGAACTTAAGACTTTCGTTGAAGGACTAAAATCCATTGCCACTCTTAGCTGAGGCATAACGATTTTTGCACACAAGTTGTTATTATATAACAGGCAAATAACTACACTAACTTCTTTATTCATCTTCAAAAGGTACGACCGTTCAAGTGTCTTGAAGCCGAAGTAGGTGTACGAGAAATCTCGATCGTAAACGATAGCCGAATTCAGTACCTGAAATCCATAAACATGGCCTGAACTACTCCAGAATATTGGTTAAAACATACGTCTGCGTGTTTCATAATTATGTCACACGTCTCCTTGCTGATCATGGGACAATGTTCGCCAGTGGATGGGTGCCGAAACTCGTATAACTTTTGCATAACTTCAGAGAACACCTAAGCGAAAAAGTACTTCCAACACAAAGTTTATAGGTACCAAAATTCATTACTCTGTCTAAAGTTCTACCACCTATTCATACCTCGTCCATAAGAATATCGATTACTTCGATTTTTTTATTTGAATGGTATTCTTTAACTATATGTTCCAAACCTACAAGGGTTATTTTGCTTGAGGAACAACTGTATCAGTCCTTAAGTAACCTCAAGGAATACAACTACTGTATTCGTCCGAACACAGTTAACGCACGGAGCATTTCTCATTCAGCAAACCCAACTTCTACGCTTATCAAATTCATCAAGCTCGAAACCATCCGAGTGAAGGAATACTACTAAGACTTTGCCAAATCGAAGAAATCTATAGGAAAGAAAAGAAGTCAAGACAACCAGATAAAGGTTTCTAGATAATGCATAAGCGTTAAATTAAACAATAATAAGCATAATGGTGCTGGTATATTTGCAAAACTTCGGACCATAGGTGACTGTGGTGGGGAACGAATGCGCTATTACCCTTTCTGAGAGCTAACCCGTTCACTACCACACCATGCAGGTCCTTAGTATCAGCTAGTTAAACTAGATAGCTAAACAATAACAGCCTAACATCCAATAGAAAGCTAAAGATTGAAGAATAGACTTCCCACCTTCCCGGTTTTCTTGTGCAAATTTGAAACAGCGATCCGAGCTGCTAGAATGGCGTAATCGGGATGTTTCGTTGTCATCGAAGCAGCGGTTTCAGCGGCCAGATTGTCCAATTCCACAGTTGTAACACCTTTGTAGAGTCCAGCTATTACTTTCATGGCCACAAGAACCTAGAAGTACTGCGACAGTCAGATAGCAGAACTCTTGCGTACTTCAAGTCAACAAGATTATTTACTCGTACTTCGAAGACATTTCATATAACCACAGAATTAAGCATGCATTACCTTACATTCTGTACTTGTTGGAGGAAAAACCTTTATAACGCTTAGAAGGAGAGAAATTAAACACCACGTACTGGATCCACATAGTCCATGTTAAGGTTGTAAGACAGTTTAAGGATTCGAGCAGTAATTTTATCGAAGTGGACACCTTCCTTTCTTCCATCTGAAAACATATGTTCGATAACCAACACCCATTAAACGGCGTTACTTTAAACCTAGCACACGCTAAAGAATGATCGAGAGATGTCTTCACTTCTATATCTGTGAAATCTTCACCTGCCAATAGTTACGAGGTGATTTAGAACAGCATAGTATATACACCCAAACAACACCTACTAGAAGCCCTTTCCACTAAAACAATCAATAGTCACTTACCTCTCTTCACAACGTACGTACTATTATGGCGCTGCATTGCTAGTTCAGTAATTCACAGGTAAGTAGTGCTTGCTAGTAAAGCCTGAAATAAAGAAAAGACCTGGTATAATTAAAGAAACATAGAAACCTTACAAAAAGCACTGACATATTAAAATACACTGGATGAAATTAAGAGAAAACGCAGTCCTTAGCACTTTATCGATCCAGACAGAAGATTTACAATCGACAGATCTTATGGTAAACTTAAACAATGATATGGACTGGATATCAAAATAGGAAAAAAACAACATGAGCGCAAACCCAGCATCACGCCAGCTCGCAAAGCGCGATAAACCAGGCAGGCAATTTCGAGCTGTTCGTGCTTCCCGCTCAATGTAGAATGGCCCGCTCTTTGCGCGGGAAACGATTTCCCAATTGTCGTTCGTCCACGGTTCCTCTCAACCTATGATTTCCAGCTGTACATTATCAGTAGCACTATGAATAGCAGGTGAAAGGATGTTTCAAACGGGATGTCTTTCGTGTTTTAAACAGTTATACTCCTTTTTGACAAGCAGGATCACTTCGCTGCCGTCACAAGAATCACCGTTGTTTTCGAAGGACCCGAGTAGCAAGGCGGTAGATTTCCCTTCAATCCATGGACACCAGTGGCTGTCTGTGCTGACGACCTCAGGACGCGCTAGTTTGGCTCATTCTAGTTTCCAAGAAGAATGTCATTGTAACCATTGCACGAAAAATATCATAGCGGTTTAGCGGCAAATACATTACAACGGCCCATGAATCAGAACTGTGTTGTGTGTTAATGCACTGGAACATAGTGTAGCAGTGATGGTGAGATATCTGCAAAACTCCGGAGCGCAGATATCTACGGTGGGGATCGAACTCGTTATTACTCTTTCCGGGGGCTAACTGCGGTTATATCTCACATCACACCCTGCCCTGAAAAAAGAATAGGCAGTAAATGAAAGGTGACTATATTGTAACAGTTCAACTGTGGATTTATTAGTCTAAAGGATGAGTCATCCATAAGACTGAGTCAGCTGAGCGCGTGCAGCGCAGTGGTTATAGATTCTCTGTAACACACTCGTCGTCTTCGCTTCGATCTCGCACACCGAACTCAAAGTGCGTTTCTTGAATACCGAGTAGCAAACTGGTACCAGAGTTGTCTGAGAGTATAGAAGCACTGACTCGATACATCGGCAGGCCATCGCAACTCACTGTGTAGGCCAAATATCCATTCAGTAACGTTCAAGGATGCTTGATACAGTAGTAACGACATGACAACACCAAAACCATACAAGCGACAAGACGTTAATAGGACGAACACAGAAAGATAAAATATAAAATGGTGACAACGAAATTACATTGCGAATAAAGGAATAGGTTCTGCCACAGACTGGTGAAGCAATATGAAAAACAAGTGTCACACAAAACACAACTCAATAAAGAAAACGGAGGAGCAATTGTCGGTGCAGGGGTAGATGAGACTAAATGGTTGGTAGTGAGAGTAACTTCTATCGTATACTGGAAAAGTAATATGGAGGACAACTGTAACAATGAATAAGGAATAACTAGGACGTCGGAGATTGAAGCGGATGGCACAACGCACAATTGACGTCGACAATCCTCACACTAACGGAGAGTTCAGCACTCGAATCCTACTGTGTGAATTAAGAGAGCAAGAAGAAGGAGAGACTGTAATTCCATTACTAGAGCGAACTGAAGAATTTCTGATAACGGTGCTTATATTTCATCTGTTGTGGGCGGAGTTTGATCGAAGGAACTAGAACCCAGGATCGACTTTCTATTAACCTCGGCATTGGAATATGAATGTGTCGTTTTCTTGTTCAGCAATCGCGAGGTTTTTAAACAGCATACATTTACTTCCATAAAAAACACAATACAATACAACACTAGCTGACGTTTCGGCAGTATCGCCTTCTTCAGAGCCTGGAAGGGTATGCTGATATACAATCCACTAGGGCAAACGCTTCAATACCACTTACCAAAAGACGAAAAACTCTATGGTGATTACGTGATCAACAACTTCTCGAAAAAACCCATCGCTTTTTCGTGACTTCCAATGAGGAAGTTTAGAACAGCTGATTATAGTCGCATGTGGTTGACGACTGCACCATCCCACATCAAAAATCGATGCGAACATACGGAATCAGGTCGCGTATGACCTCCGGGCATTCATCCCTGCTATTCATTGTAGAGTTTTTGGCATTTATCCAAAAAGCCTCAAGAAGTTTTCGCGCTGGTGTTTTAGTCTCCTGTGCAAGGATATTGACTTTTACTTCAAAATCGTCTCCGCTATGCTTTTGTATCCTATGCGTGCCTAGTGGGGTGCTTCGACTTAGTTTTCGTTTGCCATCTAGGTGTTCTTTTATACGGATACACAAAGGTCTGCCCGTTTCGCCAATATATTCATCTCCGCAATTATTACAAGAGGCCAGGTATATCGTACCTGAACTCATGCAATCGCCGTCCCTGCCGTAAGGGCAAATTACGCTATTTGTTATTTCACACAGACGGTCATACAGGCGGTTACGAACTAATTGGCGACGTAGAGTAGTCGGTGGTATTTCAACTATCGCTACCGATTCCTCTAGACCTGCCCTTCTTAAGCATCGTTTTATAGCTACGCTTACTTCATCGCTTATAAAAGGCAACATAAACGGGATTTTGTTTTGGCTAAGTGTTTCGCGTGGGCGTGTCGTTCTCCTTGTAAACTTATCTCGTGGGGTTACTATTTCGTAGCCATTGGAGGTGGCTATTTGCCGAGCCAAGTCGCGCGATTCTTCCTTTAGTTCCCTGGTGGTGCACACAGAGGTGGCTGTTCGAAACATGTTTCTCACAATCGCCCTCTTTGTGTGTGAAGGGTGGGAAGAAAGGAAATGAACAAGGATGTTCTTGTTACTTGGCTTTCGATACCACTTTGTCAGGTAACCGCTACTTGATAGGTTTATTTGGACGTCCAAAAACGGAAGCCAGTTTTCTCTCGGTTTCTCCCGGGTGAATTTTATGTACTCGGACTGCTCGTTCAATAATTCAAAGCATTTGTCCATCTCCTCCTGCGTAGAAAAGACGACAAAACAATCATCTACATATCTGCAGTAGAGTAGCGGCCGGAGATCGAGAACAGGGCTTCTATCTTAGACATAAACACAATGGCAAGGCTTGGTGCTAGTCGCTGTCCCATTGCCAACTCCCTTATTTGCGCGAACTATTTCCCATACCATCTGAAAATCGAGCAGTTTAGGCACTCCTTTAAGAAAGCCATTAGGTACTGGATGGACAAGCCATGCATATTTATTCGTCCTTCATGTTCAACAAGAAGTTCGAAGATGGCTTGCATTGCGGAGTCATTCGACACGTTGGTGTACAGTGCGGTAACGTCGAAAGACTCCATCACGTACGCGTTATTAGGAGACGCGTTACGTAGACGTTCTAGGAACATTTGGGTGTATGTGAAACAAGAAGGAACTAGAGCTATTTCCGTAGGGGATATTCTAGAAAGTTTCTCAGTTAGTATAATCTGATACAGCTGCTTCAAAGCATGACACAGTAGATACGCAGAAGTGCAACAGATGAGCCGGTATACAAGAAGCTTCGTTAACATAAAAGTTCAACAGATAGCGATTGAGTAGCTTGTACAGAAAGTTCACGTGAGCTGTAATGAGAAATGATAGACAACATCAGTTATCACCTAGAGGATATTGTCTATAGATATCGCTTATTAGCAGTTAACAAAGGATGGAGGTAGGATAGTAGTTAGTGAGGCAGTATCAGGAAGCAAAGTACTGTTTTGACCCCTTTCCAACGCCCTCCTCCGATCCACATGGGAACGCCTTTGCTTGCCTATCTCCAAGATTTCAAGATTCCGATTCGGATTTCGACATTCACAAAGAAAACAAGATCCTGATTCCTGCAGCAGTCGAAACAATATGCGAAACGCGAAGACCATTGTGGATGGTGAATGCGGGGAAACGAATCGAACGCCATAAGTTGCTGCGATCTGAGAAGTAGGTATGATGACGAGTCTTGTAAAATGAGCAAAAAGTAGCTAACATTGGGAACAGGTCTTCGTTGTCGTTGTTGTTTGTATAATTCTTTCTTCTTCTGTTTAGCAAACACGAGGTGTTACTTTATTTTACTATTTACGTACAAGCTGACGTTTCGGCGGATTTCGCATTCCTCCGTACGAATAATACGACCAATACGATTCCGTGTGAACTCTGTGCAGTTGGTCTCCACGTAACATATTTAGTGGAAGACTCATAGAAAGCGGCTCTGGGGAAGGCGAAATCCGCCGAAACGTCAGCTTGTACGTAAATAAAGAAATAAAGTAACACCTCGTGTTTGCTGAACAGGAGTAGAAAGAGTTATTCAATCAATGCCGAAGTTAACAGAAAGTCGGACTTGGGAGTTGTTGTTTGTGTTGTTGGTGTTGTTGGTCGATGGCTGACGTTTTGGCGATTTCTCTTTCCTCAGAACCGTGATGTTACGACTTGCCAGTCCCACTCTGAGGAAGGAGAAATCACCGAAACGTCAGCCATCGACCAACAACACCAACAACAACGACAACGAAGACCTATACCAACCTCGCATCAGCTAAGGAAGATCGATTTATAAGATCATATAAATAAATATATCAACTATCTATGCCGAGTTTTATAGAAAGTTGGTCTTTTGATTTATGAACACAGGCAACATTCTCCAAAGGGAAAGTGAGTGAGAGCCGAGAACTAGAAACTACAGCATTTCGAAAACCGACTTTTCCTTAACCTCGACATAACTAGTCAATGTGCATGTTTTCGTTGATAAGCTAACAGAGGTTGATAAGAGGTTATAAAAAAGCCTTATTCGGCCTAACACGAGGTTAATTTAAAAAGGACTTTATTTGGCTTTGTTCGAAGGCACGAATACATTAACCGAACAAAATGTTTTTCCACCAGACTAATATTCGTTTATTAATGAAAAAAAAAACATATTAATTATTTTCAATCGAGCGGTGCTCCCCTGAGGAAGGTTCAA